TGCCTGGTTTGACAAGCGGAGAAACTGAGAGAACACCAGATTTAGCCGCACTTGGGGCAGCACTCGCTCTTCCCCCATTGGCACGCAACCCTGCCATGTCGCACAACACCTGGACAACGCAAGCTTACTTTGTGCAGTTGCCAAAGGACGTTTAGTTGGAAAACTTCCATAAGACGAAAAGTTGAAACCGCAGAGTCGTGCAAAGAAAGGAAGAAAATGTAGCACGCGCAACATACTGCGGTAAGCAAGATTGCGAAGGCTACCTCTGTTCAGCGCACGGGTTCGCTGCGGGTTCGCCGCGGCGCGGTTTGGGAATTTCCCCAATGGCCTGCGCGTGCATATGGATCGGACGCGCAAAAACCGTGCGGCAGGCGCAGTACTTTGAAAATTTGAGGTGTAGGTTTCGTGGAAGGCGCAACATTACATGCTGGAGATGCCCGATGCGCACAATCCGCAACAGCTTCACTTGGGATGCGGTAGACAGCCATGATGTCACAATCTGTCAGGCGCACCTCCCCAAGCTGTCGAGAAGTAAGCTCAGTAGCCCTCTGCCTGAGCCTTGCTTGTGACGTCATGCCGCTTGAGGCGCTTGACTTGGACTTCCTGCAAAATGCCCTGGGACAAGCTTCATGCAAAAGCTGCGGCGTCCTCCTTGAGGCAAACAGAGAGCCGTGGTCAGGAGAGGCAAAGGAAGTGCTGAGAACACCAGCTAAGAGCATCAAGGCAAGCCAAGCCACCGACACGATGACAAGGCCAAGGCATGCAGCAAGGGCAGCTACATCTGAACCTGTGGTTAATAGCAAGGCCGACATCCATTTGAAGGAATCAGGTGCCAAGGCATAACCAGGTTTAGCTGGTCATGTTTGCCGTGGCGTGGCCCAGACTGTGCCACGTATGAGTGTTTATGAGCAGAAGGGGCGCTCGAAGAAAAAGATGCGCCCCCAAAGACAATGAAAGGAGGCGGCCCCGGCAAGCCGAAAGAGCGTCTTGAGACCACGTACAAAAAGCCAATCGCGGACAGAAGGCAAAGCTCCAGCCGTGCTCCCTCTCTTCCAGCGCATAGACAACGTGGCCCGCCGCTTGTGTTTCAGCTCACAGACGCCAGGTACCCGCCCCTTCTTTGCCCAGCATCCTAAACACTTGTTGCAGACGTAGCGCACACTTCTGGTGCGCTTTCCTTGACTTCTCCTTGAAGCTTCTACTTCTCCTTGTTGTTCAGCGTGATCTGCTTGCCACTTCAGCCTAAGGCCAGGCACCTGGCTGCGCTCTGCTGCAAATAAGCCTCCTTGTCCTCATCGCCCATGAGGTCGTCCAGGTTCTGGTGTTGTCTCCTTGACAGAACTTTCTGGAATTTGCTTCGGAACATGCCTGCGTCGCCTTCCAGAGGCGGACATGCTCATGTTTCACTGGTCCGGTAATTTTGTACATTTCCTGAACATTGGCTTTTACGTTCCAAGCTGCTGCCTTGGCGCTGGCCCTTTAGCACGCTTGTGGACAGGCATGCCTTCCTGGTCTTCTCAGTCTTGTCTAGGGCCCGCCGGAAGGCAGAAATATGTATTGCTGGAGGTGGCTTCTTCTCTTCTTTCGTCATGCGCAGAGTCAGCCGCCCTGCGGTTCGGATTCAGAGGGTGAGGAGCCAGCTGCATCCATACGACCTCACGGCTCCATTGCAGACCTGCAGCTGGTATGCTCACGCCCTTGTGCACCAGAATAACATTTCCATTTGCCCACATCACTGGGAGGCCATCATCACCACTGCGCGCGTGAGGCTTTGCCCAAGAGATTCCAACCCCATTCGCTGTGTCTGTTCTGCGAGCTCTTCTGCACAATCTTTAGTGGAAGCCACACATGCGGGCACTGCTTGTGATCTGCTTTTCCGTGAAGTCAAGGTGCCGCAACAATTTGGTTAACTCCCTTGCGCAGCAATCTGAGCCTCCTGTGGTTCTCCCTCATGCCAATGGCCTGAAGTTCCTGGCTCCATGCGTCACGGATTGCTGCTGCCTTTTGCAGTCCAAAAAGGGTTTGGAGCCACCTCCACCACACATCTTTTGCGGCTGATTCGGCTTGGGCCGGATTAGCTGGAAGTGTTCATCGTGCAGCAAGAGGACGAGGCGGCCTTTGCTCAGACATTCTGCGCCGAAGGTGCGCCCAGAACGCTCGTCGGCCGCATCCTTGCGCCTGCAGCTAAAGCTCGTCCATGTATAAGGTCGGCTTGTCACTTGCCCAGAACTCCATCCACTCACGATTGTGCTTTTTCAAGTTTCCAGAAGAGCAGCAAAATCAGTGGTTATGAGAACCAGCGGGCTGTCTGAGGACCAGCGGCTGTCTGAGGACCAGCGGGCTATGCTAATCAGTGATTTCACTTTCCGCAGGTCGCGGGCTAGCTTTGGCTTTCTTGCCAGCATTGCCTGTGCCCATTGCCGGGCTAAGAGAACAGCATCCGCAAATGTTGCCTCACTTGGGTGAGGGATCAAACACAAGTTTTTAGGCATCAAAAACTTATTCTTGAAGCTCAAACAAACAAAAACGTGTTAGGGGTCAAAAACTGACTTCTTCTCTGTAGACGTAATTAATACTACAAATAAAAATACGGAGCAGATTTCGCGGCAGGCGCAGCTTTTTCGCAAGGTACGGTACAGATTTCGCGGCAGGCGCAGCTTTTTCGCAAGGTACGGTACAGATTTCGCGGCAAGCGCAGCACTTTCACAAGGTACGGTACAGGTTTCGCGGCAGGCGCAGCACTTTCGCAAGCGATAAAGAAAAAATAAGAGAAATAAACATGCAGAAAAAGGGAGAAAAGAGAGAAAGAGAGAGAGAAAGAGAGAGAGAGAGAGAGGGAAAGAGAAAGAGAAAGGGAGAAAGGGAGAAAGGGAGAAAGGGAGAAAGGGAGAAAGGGAGAAAGGGAGAAAGGGAGAAAGGGAGAAAGGGAGAAAGGGAGAAAGGGAGAAAGGGAGAAAGGGAGAAAGAGAGAAAGAAAGAGGGACAGACGGAAAGAGAGAAAGATTGAAGATGTGATGATTCAACAAAGGGTGGGTTAATCTCTGTAAACAACTTAAAACCTGCGGGAGGGTTGGGGGGGGAGCGGCCCCCCCGCCTATGATGTTCGAAGAAGTGATGATTCAACAAAGGGTGCGTTAATCTCTGTGAACAACTTAAAACCTGCGGGAGGGTTGGGGGGGGAGCGGCCCCCATCATGTTCGAAGAGCGATGATTCAACAAAAGGTGTGATAATCTTTGTTGTTCAAAGTCTGGGGGGGGGCGGCAGCCCCCGCCCATACTGGTCGAAGAGGTGACGATTCAACAAAGGGTGCGTTCATCTCTGTAAACATTCTAAAAAACTGCGGGAGGGTTGGGGGGGCAGCAGGCCCCTCCATGATGATCGAAGAAGCGATGATTCAAACAAAGGGTGGATCCGCCGATTCCCGAAACCGATATTGAGAACCTCTCCAAATGTGTCAGATTTCTTCCTTTACTTCCTTTCTTCTTTCCCTCCTCCCTTCCTTCCTTCGCTCCCTTCCCTCCCTTCCCTTCCCTTCCCTTCCCTTCCCTTCCCTTCCCTTCCTTCCTTCCTTCCCTCTCCCCATAGGAATGAGAAGAAGTTGTGTTTTTATCCCTGAAGAAGTGCATTTTATTGATCCCTCAGAAGCTTGCGTTTGATGGGGGAAGCACTCGCACGAATGTTGTCTTCACCCGTTAGCACTTGGCACATTCAAATTTTCGTTGGACACCATTTGCAGTCCTTCGGCGTGGGTGCAGGTGTTGCCGGCGTTGCGCAGCACGAAGATGTCGCCGGGCATGGCGTCGAACACGGTCTCCAGGGGCGCCCGCGAGTCCGCGCACCCAATGATGGCGGTGTGGGGTGCCTGGCCTTTGTCCACCAAGTCCTGACTCGAGAGCAATGCATGAAAGCCTTTGCACAAGCTCACAAAAACGGTTCAAATGCAAGTGCATCCGAGACATGCGCACCGACTCTGCCCATCCGACTTCAGCCCGTTCACCCCACTTCCGCCCAGCCGACCTCACAGCACCAACCTCCCCTCGCCTTGCGCATGGCCTCGTTGGTGCGGGTCGCCTGAGGCGCGCCCTTCACGAAGCGGTCGTTGCCCTCCCTCAAGAGCTTCATGGCCTCCTCCGGGGCCACTGGGGCGTCCGCCGTGGTGCGCACCTTGCCTCGGAGCCATGGAAAGGGACGTGGGGGAAGGAGCCGGGAAGGAGTGCTGGTGTCACCCTTGTTGGCCTGGGGTTTGCGGTGGAGGCGAGTAGGCGACCCTAACATGGCCCTGGCACTCAATGCATCCGAAGCACTTGCCATGGCGAAGAAAAGTGGTGGATGACAGCAGGCACTGAGTAAAACGGCGAGCGGCTGGGGCGCGACATCTGACCATGATCGTGCTTGTGTAATAGGGGCAAGCCGGCAGTGGCTGATCATTGCCTAAATGATCTGAATCAAAGGGTGGTCTGGTCAAATTCAACGCAAGTGCGTTTAGCTTTGGCCGCGCCGCGCGTGCCATTTCCATCGCACTGGGCGGAGTGGTTCTGTGTCTCTGACTGTCAGGTCTCTGTTGAGTCATTGACTCACGGACCTGGACAGCGCCAGAAGCTGCAAATTATTTGCAGCCCGATAAGAAATGTTCATTCGATCTACCGGCGGGGTCCGAAGAAAAAGCCCCGCCAAAAAATGCAAGCCCACAAGAACTTTGTTGCTTGTGAAGCATTCAGGCCAAGACGGCCATTTTTAAAGTTTACAGTGCCGCTCGCAGCACGATGGTCTGCACCGCTCGTGCAGGCCACACTGGTGTCCTGACCGACTGAAACACCGTTGCTCCCGAGACGTACCGGCTCTTCCCCCTACATGTTCCCATTCGCCCTCAGTACACCCGCACTGCGGTACAACCCCGGTTCCCCCTCAGTTCGTATCTTCAAGGCTGAGGTCCAAAAACAAAAAGCAAACACTGAGGTCCATATTCCCCCCAACAAAAGCAGCTTCAAGCCGGGCGTCTTCAAGACAGGGAGGGGGGCATCTTGTCCGCGGACTTCACCAGCGCCGCCTGCGCCGGGCTCCGCCCGAGGAACTCCACGTGGCCGGTCTCCAGGTCGTAGATGCCTCCCTGGATCTCCACCTCCCCGGACTCCACCTGGAAGCAAGGCAGCAAACGCACGCATTGGGCAGGTGAACATGTGGGATCTTTTTTTGGAGTCCAAAGGCACGCCAGCATGGACCGAGTCTCCCATGTGTTTGACAACCCATCTGGGAAGGAAGGGAAGTGTACGAAATTCCGACTCCTGGGAGAGCTTGACAGCTCGATACAGAAGTCTGCAAGCCCTCGTGCGTGGAAGATGCCTTCAAAAAAAAGCCGTGTCACACATCGGACTCTCAGTGCTCAAAGTAAAAGCTTCAGTTCTCGACGGCTCCTGCTCCGAGGTCAAAGAAACCAACCCGACTCGTCTCAACGCATGGGCTGAGGCCAAGCCCGGGTATCATTGGGAAGAGTGCCAGACACCGCAAGAACACGTGCCCATTTCATCCCCCCCCTCCCCCCCCCGCCCACCTTGGCAACCCAAGTTCCGGAATGAATGTCGATTGGGGGAAGTGGGTACCGCACCATCCGGTTGCTCCTCGTCTTCTATTTTCGTCTGGAGAATCGAGAGGAACAACTGAGAATCCAAAAAAAGCAGTCGCCAAGGTCGCCAAATAACCGACCGCGCCACTAAGGAAAACACCCCTGGAGCTCGTCATCATCCAAGGCTGCCGGCCTTGCCCCTGATGAGCGGGCTGTACTGAAGAAGGAAGTCGATGGTGTGGAAAACATTCCTGAGGCCACGTTTCTCCCCACGAAACAAGCCACACTAGGCGTGATGTGGCTACATGTGACCCACAAAAGAGGGGGACTTCAGGCTTTCAAGCGCAGCAAGCCCACCGAGACCTGCCAGGCATGCCATCACCTTTGAGGACTACTGTGGCTTGACCAAATGAACCATGAACCTGCAAGTACCTAAGGTATGCCACTTGGCAACATCTGTGATTTGTGGTTAGCCAAAGTGCATCCGCACTTGTGACCAAACCCTTCATCTTTTCAGCAACCTCGGCTCGCTTTTCAGGCATGTGCCAACTATACCGCGTTCCTTTGCTTGTTCCTCGGACATGCTGGGTGCGCTCGTTTTCGCTTGCCGAAGAAAGCCAAGCAACACCAGCGCCAAGTGAAGCGACTCCACTCCCCTCTGCTCCACTCCACTCCACTCACAATGACAAGCATCCTAATCCTGGTCCCAAAAAGCCACCACAGCTGGTGGCTGGTCTTGACTCCCGTTTGTCTGCCAGTCAACACAACTGGCTTTGCCAAGGACTAAACCAGCCCCGTGAGACACCTTCCTCGACAAATCGCAATCCCCACGTTCCTTCTCCGGGGGTCAGCTTCACGGCCAGGTTGGCGATGTCGTCCTGGCTGGCGCCGGCGCCAAGCTGCTGGGAGGCCTTGCCGGCCACCACGCTGAGGCCCTCCAGCAGCGCGTCCAGGGCCTTGTTCACCTCAGGGAATGAGGTTCTTCCCCATGTCTCAGACTAATTCATTTCCGGCAGCTCAGCCAGAAGGCCATCAAACATGTTCACACCACTGGTTTCTACTGATGAAGACTTAGCTTGCTCTGCCCTGCTGCAAACACAATGCTAGAGATGCAAAGTGGCGTGTTTCTACAGTGTGGCATTCCATTCTCCCCCCGCCCGGCCTGGGGCTTGGCGGTGCCAGTCTTGCTCAGGTAGGTTGCGGTGGCACCCTTGATGGCGCCGCAGGCAGTGTGGCCCAACACCAGCACCATCTTGGAGTTCAGCGCGCCGAGGCAGAACTCCAGGCTCCCCACAATGCTGCCTGAGGAAACGGCAGCACGGAATGCCACCCACCCCGTCCCCTCCCCCCACCCAACCCCACCCGAACCCTGGCCTTCCGCGTGGGTGCAGGTGTTTCCGGCGTTGCGCAGCACGAAGATGTCGCCGGGCATGGCGTCGAACACGGTCTCCAGGGGCGCCCGCGAGTCCGCGCACCCGATGATGGCGGTGTGGGGCGCCTGGCCCTCCTTGACCAGGGCCCGGCGCATGTCCGGGGTGACCTTGCCCGAGATGCCGGCGCCCACCACGAAGCGCTCGTTGCCCTCCTTCAGCAGCTTCAGCGCCTGCGGGTGCGGCAGCGGGCCGTCCGTGGTGGTGCGGATGGGCAGCGCGGCCAGGGAAGGCGGCAGCGACGTGTCGGAGGCCAGCAGCTCCGCCTGCTTGGGCGAGCGGCCCAGGAACTCCACGCGGCCCGTCTCCAGGTGGTACACGCCACCCTGGATCTCGAGGTTGCCGCTCTTCACCAGGTCTCTGAGCGGCTGAGAGTACTTCAGCAGGAACTCCATGGACGTGAACACGTTCGTTTTGATGGTGTGGGAGATCAGCTGCTTCTGATCCATGCCCACGCCAAGCTCCTCCTCCGCCTGAGCGGCGACCTTGGACAGGCCCTGCAGGAGACCCTCCAATGCAGAGCCCGCCGCCTTGGACCCGCCGCCGGCTTTGCTGGCGAGGTGGGTCTGGGTGGCACCTGCGATGGCTCCGCACTGCGTGTGCCCCAGCACGAGGATCAGCTTTGAGCCCAGCTTGCCGGCGCAGAACTCCAGGCTGCCCACCATGCTGCCTGTTTGGACAAGGAGAGAACTGGGCGAACATCCCCAAATGTTGCCTCGCTTAGGGGATCACTCTTCTGGGCTGCACTTGCTACCTTGGCACGTGGTACATTTAGTCCATCGGAAACCAACAAGCCGGCCTTCAGCGTGGGTGCAGGTGTTGCCGGCGTTGCGCAGCACGAAGATGTCGCCGGGCATGGCGTCGAACACGGTCTCCAGGGGCGCCCGCGAGTCCGCGCAGCCCATGATGGCTGCATGCGGCGCCTGGCCTTGCTTCACTAGCGCCTCGCGCATCTGCTGGCTCGCATGCTTGGCCAGCGGCGCACCCACGGCGAACCGCTCGTTGCCCTCCTTCAGCATCTTCAGCGCCGCCTCTGCTGGCACGGCGGCATCTGCCGTGGTGCGCACGCCGTGCACGCCCCGCGCCGGAGGGCCGTAGCCGCCCACGCGGCCGCCCTCCTGCGTCATGGACGGGGGCAGCCCCATGGTGGAGCTGAGCAGCTCCGACTGCTGCGGCGAGCGGCCCATGAACTCCACCTTGCCCGTCTCCTTGGCCGCGACAGCCCCGCTAGCCCAAGGGTTTGTTTCGGACCCCAAGGGTTTGTTCGTCGACCGACCGACAACCCTACAAAACATTCTACGTGCTGGTGGCCAAGCTCAGGGACAAAAAACATGAGCCGCAGTAGCCTGTCAGGGACAAGTACCTGAAGCTTGTCACCCCAGGAAGCTGCTAGTGGAAGACGCCATCAACAACAATGAGCTTAGACCGCGAAGTTGCAGCAAGTCTTGTCTTGGCTAGACAGTCAGTGGTTGAGGCAGGCAGCTTCCGAGATGTCACAAAACGATCAAGCAGTGACAGGCAAATGGTTCGTGTCACTCTGCATTGCTTGCCGAGTGTCCAAATGATACACGGCACCCTGGATTTCCACCTGGCCACTTCGCACCTTCTCCCGGATGGGGGCGCTGTACTTCAGCAGGAAGTCGATGGTGTGGAAGACGTTCACCTTCACCGCGTGCGCGGCCACGTCCTCCGGATCAGTGTTGGCGCCCATGTCCGCCACGGCCTTCTCGGCGACGGGGGCCAAGTCCAGCAAGAGACCTTCGAGAGCGCAGCTCACGCTGGTCGTCTCGCTTTTCTTCTTCGCCTGCAAGTTTGATCCCGGGCATAGGGGCGGCACTTTTTGTTTCCGTGAGGGGGGGGCCAACGGACGATGCCAGCAACGGATCCCAAATGCTCACTGCACAACAAAGGGCGTTAGCCCGACCATGCCTCCAGGTAGGCGTTCGCCGCTCCGTACACGGCCCCGCACTTTGTGTGACCAACAACCAGGATCATGCGAGAGCCCAGCTTGCCAGTGCAGAACTCCAGGCTGCCCACCATGCTGCCTGGTCCGACCCCAAATGTTCCCTCACTTGGCGAAGCCCTCGCCCAAATGTCGCCTTCACCCCTTGGCACTTGGTACATTTTAAAATTTTAACTCCAATTGGAAACCAACAAGCCGGCCTTCCGCGTGGGTGCAGGTGTTTCCCGCGTTGCGCAGCACGAAGATGTCGCCGGGCATGGCGTCGAACACGGTCTCCAGGGGCGCCCGCGAGTCTGCGCACCCGATGATGGCGGTGTGGGGTGCCTGGCCTTTGTCCACCAAGTCCTGACTCGAGAGCAATGCGCTAAGTGCATCCGAGACGTGCACGCCAACTCTGCCCATCCCTTCAGCCCACCGTTCACCCCACTTCCGCCCAGCCGACCTCACAGCACCGACCTCCCACCCTCGCCTTGCGCATGGTGTCGTTGGTGCGGGTCGCCTGAGGCGCGCCCTTCACGAAGCGGTCGTTGCCCTCCCTCAAGAGCTTCATGGCCTCCTCCGGGGCCACCGGGGCGTCCGCCGTGGTGCGCACCTTGCCTCGGAGCGATAGGACGCCAGGACCCGTGCCGCGGAATTGACTCGAACTATGAAAGCACCCAGCAGTAGAAAGGTCGCTGGCTGGTTAACGTTCTACTTGGTTCCCATGCCCTGCTTTCAGCGCGCTTTCGCGCAATGTGTTTGCATTCCAGCCCAAGAGAGTGGCGGTTCTGCTCCAGGCGTTTGTTCGAATCTGCTTTGCATAGTCGAAGCAGCTAGATTCCAGTCAATGGCAACCAGTCTTCCTTGTCAGCTGGCGATGCCTTGCAGGCAAAGAGCTGTGTCGGCTGGTGCCACCCTTGTTGGGATTTACCGTTGGAGCCCTGGCACCCAATGCATTCGAGGCACTTGCCATGGCGAAGAAAAGCGGTGGATGACAGCAGGCACTGATTAAAACGGCGTGCGGCTGGGGCGCGACATCTAACTTGTTTGTCCAGGTGTCCCTTTTCTGCGAACTGGCCTAGGAAATTCAATCAACAAGCAAAGATAACCGAGGCATACATCCAAAACGTGACAGCTCCGTCATTTGCATGGAAGACGTCCAGCATGGGGTGGAGTCATACGTCAGTGCTGCCCATGAGACTTAACCGACCACCACTTGAACTCCTCTCCTTGGACTCCCTCCTGTCCAAAACAAAAGATCTCTATCATTATTGGCCTAATCCCGACGAGTGCGTCCTGGTCTTCTACCAAGCAGCCACCCCATTGATGAATATACATATTATGTGTATATATAGTATGTAGCTGTGGAGATACATACACATCAGGGAGGGGAGACTGTGCGTCGGCAACTGCGTCATGCACTGTGCCAGTTGATGCCGGGCTGAAAACATTGCTGACACCAGGGCCGTCCAGGCACACTTCTTTTGACGCACTGAGCGAAGATGAGGGTGTCTTGGGCGTCACGAAGGTGGCTCTCATGAGTCATTGACTCACAGCACCTCGTGAGCGTAATGCCCACGGCTGCATCCTGCGCAGCCTGAAATGCTGAACAATGGCGAGCAGCTGCTCCCATTCAGCGTACAAGGCAGGGCCTGAAAAGAGGGAAGATGCCGACTTCTGCCGGCCAGGCAAAAATGCACGTCCACAAGAACTTATGTGCTTGTGAAGCAGTGGGCTGTAACAGCCACGTTAAGACGTTTACAATGCTGATCGCAGCACAAGCTGTGGCGCCTGCACACCGCACTCTCGTCCTGATTGGCTAAGATCAAACAATAAAACTGGCAAACTGTAACAATCCGCCAACTGGAAATGAGTCAGCACCTTTGTCATGGGTGCAGCTCTGAAGAAACACATCAAGTCCACAAAGAAAAAACCGGAGGTCCATGTTCCCCCCAACAAAAGCAGTTTCAAGCCGGGCGTCTTCAAGACAGGGAGGGGGGCATCTTGTCCGCGGACTTCACCAGCGCCGCCTGCGCCGGGCTCCGCCCGAGGAACTCCACGCGGCCGGTCTCCAGGTCGTAGATGCCGCCCTGGATCTCCACCTCCCCGGACTCCACCTGGAAGCAAGGCAAGAAACGCACGCACGCGCACGCATGTGCACCTGCACACGCATGCGGAGAAACGCAAGAAAGGGAAGAGAAGGTAAGGAAGCGAGCTGCAACCACAACAAGGAGGCAGGACGCGGGGGAAGCCAGACATCTACAAGCAAGATAGCAGATAGCAAGCCAAAAAAAGACAAGGTCGGCCCAACATGCACACATGCCCTGGCCACTACGCACTTCATCCCAAACAAAAAGCAACTCTCTCAAATCCTAGGCCAAGCCACTTCACGTAGAACTCTACACGGGAGGCAGGTCGAAGCCTTTGCCAATTTGCCCTCGCCTCTAACCCTGTTCCGACTCCCAAGCTCCGTGACATGGTGAAACAATATTGTCCCAGCCTTGCCCCTGATCAGCGGGCTGTATTGGAGTAGGAAGTCAATGGTGTGGAACACATTCCTCGCAATCTAAGAATGACATGGTAACGAAGCTGCAGAGCTTTGCTATCAAATCCTGAACCGAGAAAACCTGGACGCACGCCAACGTCGATAAGTTTGTAAAGTTCATACATACGAACAAAATGCTTCATGCATGGTACATGTATGCACCCCTATTCCCCATTCTTGCCCCAGGTGGATTCCCAGAAAAAGCTACACAATATCCAACGAGAGCCCCGGGATTCAAACAAAGAACCGATATGATACAAATTGAAAATATTCGAACTTTGCAGTCGGTTGGCCTATGCATGGGGCCGGCCGATTCGAAACGACTACAGAGAGCTCCTACTGATTTGCTGCATGCAGAATCCTGTCGAAGGAAGTAGGACTCGGAGAGGATGTCTGTGAGATTGCTGGAGCAGCGGTTAGAGTAAAACAAGATGTGCGCGGCAATACTTGCTTCAACACGATTCTGACCCTTGAGACGCATTCCCGACCAGTTGCCCTATGATGGTGAAGCCAGAGACAAGTCCTGCAAAAATAGACGTGTGGTTGACACCAAGAAGGATACTTCGGCAACAGCCTACACGATCCCCGATCCCGCAATGGACAAAGGGACGATGACTGAGTTTCCACGTGTTGTGGGTCGCTTGTCAGTCCGCGCAACGTCCCTCAACATTTCTGTACACGAACTGATCCCCGAACCGCCCTCCCTTCTCCGGGGGTCAGCTTCACGGCCAGGTTGGCGATGTCGTCCTGGCTGGCGCCGGCGCCGAGCTCCTGGGAGGCCTTGCCGGCCACCACGCTGAGGCCCTCCAGCAGCGCGTCCAGGGCCTTGTTCACCTCACGGTTGGCTCCGGCCGGTTGTTGCCCATCTCAAGCAAAGCTGCGGAAATGAGCGTGCTGGCGAATGAACGCAAGCATTCTGGAGTCAGAACGCGAGAGTTCAACCTGATCACTGATCACCTGTGTCCCTGACTTCTTTGAGCAAAAGTGCACCACGTTTGCGCTGCGATCTATATATAAGTGTATAGACTAATTCATTTCCGGCAGCTCAGCCCGAAGGCCATCAAACATGTTCACACCACTGGCTTCTACTGATGAAGACATAGATTGCTCCGCCCTGCTGCAAAGGCAATGCTAGAGATGCAAAGTGGCGTGTTTTTACGGTGTTGCATTCCATTCTCCCCCCGCCCGGCCTGGGGCTTGGCGGCGCCAGTCTTGCTCAGGTAGGTCGCGGTGGCACCCTTGATGGCGCCGCAGGCGGTGTGGCCCAACACCAGCACCATCTTGGAGTTCAGCGCGCCGAGGCAGAACTCCAGGCTTCCCACAATGCTGCCTGAGGAAACGGCAGCACGGAATGCCACCCACCCACCCCGTCCCCTCCCCCCACCCAACCCCACCCTACCCTGGCCTTCCGCGTGGGTGCAGGTGTTTCCCGCGTTGCGCAGCACGAAGATGTCGCCGGGCATGGCGTCGAACACGGTCTCCAGGGGCGCCCGCGAGTCCGCGCACCCGATGATGGCGGTGTGGGGCGCCTGGCCCTCCTTGACCAGGGCCCGGCGCATGTCCGGGGTGACCTTGCCCGAGATGCCGGCGCCCACCACGAAGCGCTCGTTGCCCTCCTTCAGCAGCTTCAGCGCCTGCGGGTGCGGCAGCGGGCCGTCCGTGGTGGTGCGGATGGGCAGCGCGGCCAGGGAAGGCGGCAGCGACGTGTCGGAGGACAGCAGCTCCGCCTGCTTGGGCGAGCGGCCCAGGAACTCCACGCGGCCCGTCTCCAGGTGGTACACGCCACCCTGGATCTCGAGGTTGCCGCTCTTCACCAGGTCCCTGAGCAGCTGAGAGTACTTCAGCAGGAACTCCATGGACGTGAACACGTTCGTTTTGATGGTGTGGGAGATCAGCTGCTTCTGATCCATGCCCACGCCAAGCTCCTCCTCCGCCTGAGCGGCAACCTTGGACAGGCCCTGCAGGAGACCCTCCAACGCAGAGCCCGCCGCCTTGGACCCGCCGGCTTTGCTGGCGAGGTGGGTCTGGGTGGCACCTGCGATGGCTCCGCACTGCGTGTGCCCCAGCACGAGGATCAGCTTTGAGCCCAGCTTGCCGGCGCAGAACTCCAGGCTGCCCACCATGCTGCCTGTCAAGGACAGAGGAATGGGTGTGCTTTTCTTGCAACTATTTCGCAGGCACTCTCCCAAACGGGTTGACCTTGGTACATTTCAGTCCGGTCGGAAACCAACAAGCCGGCCTTCAGCGTGGGTGCAGGTGTTTCCGGCGTTGCGCAGCACGAAGATGTCGCCGGGCATGGCGTCGAACACGGTCTCCAGGGGCGCCCGCGAGTCCGCGCAGCCCATGATGGCTGCATGCGGCGCCTGGCCATGGCTCACCAGGGCCTCTCGCATCTTCAGGCTCGCGTGCTTGGAGAGCGGCGCGCCCACGGCGAACCGCTCGTTGCCCTCCTTCAGCATCTTCAGCGCCGCCTCTGCTGGCACGGCGGCATCTGCCGTGGTGCGCACGCCGTGCACGCCCCGCGCCGGAGGGCCGTAGCCGCCCACGCGGCCGCCCTCCTGCGTCATGGACGGGGGCAGCCCCATGGTGGAGCTGAGCAGCTCCGACTGCTGCGGCGAGCGGCCCATGAACTCCACCTTGCCCGTCTCCTTGGCCGCGACAGCCCTGCTAGCCAAGCAGCGTTCTGGCTTGTCCACTGAACGACCCCCCTACCATACGTTATTCGTGCGAATCACCAAGCTCAGGGGCAGGAAAACATGAGATACAGCAATGTGTATGTCAGACACACGTACCTGAAGGTTGACACCCCAGCAGTTGCTCGCGAGATTCGCCACTCGCATATGAATCAAGCTTAGACTGCAAGGTTGCAGCTTGTCTTGGCTAGACCGTCAAAGTGGCTCAGGCGGGCAGCTTCCGAGATGTCACAAAACGATCAAGCAGTGACAGGCAAATGGTTCGGGTCACTCTGCATCGCTTGCCGAGTATCCAAATGATACACGGCACCCTGGATTTCCACCTGGCCACTTCGCACCTTCTCCCGGATGGGGGCGCTGTACTTCAGCAGGAAGTCAATCGTGTGGAAGACGTTCACCTTCACCGCGTGCGCGGCCACGTCCTCCGGATCAGTGTTGGCGCCCATGTCTGCCACGGCCTTCTCGGCAACGGGGGCCAAGTCCAGCAAGAGACCCTCGAGAGCGCAGGTCACGCTGGCCGTCTCGCTCTTCTTCTTCGCCTGCAAGTTTGATCCCGGGCATAGGGGCGGCACTTTTTGTTTCCGTGAGGGGGTGGAGGGGGGCCAAAGCCACATCTTGAAACCTGCGACGTGACGACGCCGGAACGACGGATCCCAAATGCTCACCGCACAACAAAGGGCGTTGGCACCACCATGCCTCAAGGTAGGCGTTCGCAGCTCCGTACACGGCCCCGCA